TGTAAAACTTTACATATGAAGACGATAGAACCGGTAAGAAATAAATCATAAGAGCCGTAAGATTGCCATTTTATTGACCATTTTACAATGTTGCGAGGTAATTATTCTGTAATACCGAGCAGATTGTGCGATGTATTTATATCTACAAAGTTGTGTTTGGTCACGCACTGGGAAATTAACATTAAATTTTGGACGTCTACCTCTACATTTACGATGTCCCGATTATTCTAATTTTACGCTCCATTAATGTCGTGGGACCGACAATGTAGAATGTCCGCCTACTAAAAATCCCTACGCGGATTGGGTACTTGAGAGCGGGGCTCTCTTGGCAAAAATAGCAGCTGGGATGTGATATTGCAGAAAAGATGACGCTCATATGAGATTCTGGTGCAGAAGGAAAAGAACGACCGTAAACCACCGCTTCCTCAACTTGAGGTGTTATCTATATGTAGATGTCACGACACAGGTGGCCAAGATGACCACACACCTTGAAGCCAAAATAGCGAAATAGCAACATTAATGTCTTTCAATGATGGAAAGCATATTCCTTTCAACTTTATAACAGTTCTGTGCACCATTTATGGCTTGGAAATATCGATTTTCTCGTTTCATCTTCCAGCATGCAGTGCTGAGAAAGAAGTAGCTATTACGCTGCCGGAAGAGGCCGTGGCAACTCTCGGTGACGGAGTGACTTTGCAAGCTGCCTTCGACACAAGTTACAGACTAATTTCAGTCACGTGGAGTAAACTACACGGAAACGTCACCTCCCAGAAAAGGACAAGCGTTCTCTCTTATGTGCCTGACTTGAACATCAACCGTGCATATGGATCTTACAAGGAAAGGGCAAAACTTCTGGGAATGGCTTCTCTGCGGATCGAACCGACGGAAACTGAAGATGAGGGCACGTATGCCCTGTCAATCATGACCGATGAACGCGGCACGGCAGAGAAATTCATCCACCTGGCCTTACAGGGTTCGTTAACGTTTTACACAATTCTTCAAAAGAAAAAAAAAGAATAGTTGCCAATAATTGCCGAAAATGTAAAATTACTCTTAGCTTATCTTTCTTTCTTTATTTCTTATTTCAGGTAAAAAAGAACCCATAAAACACAATACATCTTAAAACAATACAAAACTCTAGAGACAGACATATAATACCGAAAACCTAGATGCATAGTAAATTGTGATTCGGAAGAAAGAGTTCTTGTAGAATTCTTATCAACTATTTCATTTTAAGTCATTGCCAATAGGAAGTTTTAGTTCCTACTTGTTATTTGTAGTCCCTCCCCCCAATACCAATCCTCTATTTGCCTTTTTCTTTCGGTTGGTGATATGTGTAGACTTTAAACGATTTGATGCGAGGCTCAATGTCCCTTATCTTCCTGGACAGTCTAAATGCCAGACTCCAAAGAGATGTATGAGACGGAATGTGACATTTTGAGTGGAAGAAGGATGGTTGCATGACAAATATGACAGACGGATCCATTTGATGTGCCATTTATCTCAGTAGTTTGTTCTGAATATGTAAAAGCAGCCAAAGATGACGAGATTGTATGCATCTCAGTTCTACATATCTAGCTCTCGGCAATTTAATGTGAAATCAAAGCCAAAATGTGAAGTCAAAAACTAATTGATCATTTTTTGTCATCCATAATATCATGGTCGTCAAGCTTGAAAACAGTGCCAAAAATCATTGATATCTGAATTGTACGTATTGCAGTAGGGAAACTTCTGATGTAAATTGCTAACAGAAAAATTCCTTTGCAGCTTTTCCTGACCCCAAAACATCAATAATGTGCATCTTTACATACACTGGTGGTTACGGTAATCTCATAAGCCCTTGACCTCAATGTATTTGTCATAAACGCTGGGAGCCGTTACATTGGTAATACATATAGGTGGATATAAAATCTGGATATACCACAATGGGATATGCATTTTTACTATGCGCATAATATAGTTCTGATGAATGGAGTATACTCAGGGTCATTTGTAATCGATACTATCTGTTGGTTTAATGCATTTTGAACTCATCTTTATTCCGCAGTGGCACCTCGGGTCGTGGTGGGACCCCGGAACCCGTATGTTACCGTGGTGGGGGAATCGGTGTCCCTCGCGTGTAAGGTCACCGATGCCAAGCCTAATATAACTTCACTTTACTGGGAGAAAGACGGTGCCAGGCTCGAGGCCAGCAGCTTTCTGGGGAAATATTCAGGAGGAGATGCCAGGACGCCATCTTTAACCATTCGTCACGTGATGAGGATGGATGGCGGAGTGTACACATGTGTGGCCCAGAATTCCGTGCGGCGTGGAGAGGGGCACATCGAGCTGCGAGTACACTGTATGTAAACTAACGTCCCAATTATCCTTTCAACTGAGTCGCGTGCTATATTTTACGGTTACAAAGGAATAGTTAAAAGGCAATTGACGAAGATTCAATATTGAAGCATCTTTGATCTAGATTATTCCCAAATCGCCCTGGTGAATCCTCTGTAGACTTAAGCCGGCCACGAAACAGTTTGTAACACGTTGGAACAATTGATGACCTCATAAAAGAGCGTATTGATTTTGTACTTTTGTCGGAGTCCACCGGTATTACCACGGGAGAAAAGCCACCACGGCCCTATAAATCATCTCATAATCAATTAATGAATCCATTATTCAATGTAATGAGCAGCCTGTAGCCTAGACGTAACTATCGGATGTCTCCCTGTGCACATTAGCAATAGAACATACACTATTTGTTACAAATTGTTCAGTGGCTTATGATACATAATATGTATAAGAATCGAGACGGTGGCATTCATTTAGAATTCACGAGTTGTCTGTAATGGGACCAGCCTTTTGTAACAACTGGCTTTACTTCTAAGTAACACTCCTAACACCACTACTTGATTCTTGGTGAAGTGCAAATTGGCCAGCTCGAGCAAAGAAGATACTTAATCAATCGATACAAAGTGGTACAATTTTCATCTTCAGCTAGGTCGATAGGTCAGCATCTATCTGTACTGTCTGAAAGCATGACCTTGTTTGAGCTGTATCAAACCTGTCAGACATAATGCAGCCTGTCACATACCGCGGGATGCAGTAATGGGTTTGCTTTCCTTTTCCTCAGATTTTGCCTCGATAACCAGTATCTCTGAGCCTGTGGAAGTAACTGTCGGGGATCATGTGAAGTTCCGCTGCGTGGCCGAGGGGAGCCCTACCCCCAACATCACGTGGTCTAGGAACGGACTGAAGCTTAAGGCCAGCTCAGATGATGCCGTTGGTGACGTCAGAACGAGTGCCCTGGTCCTGAGCAGTGTGGAACTGGGTGATACTGGAACATACTCCTGCACGGCACGGAACGGGATAGGCGGGCCACAGATCAGAAATACACATGTCGACGTAGTGGGTAAGAGTAACCCTAAGTAGTTAGGTGTATATGATAAGAACTTTATTTGACACAACAAAAGTACAGCGACTTTCGTAAGGTCTTTAACTACATGTAGACATACAGACAGATACGTGGATACAACAAAATTAACATATACGTACAAGACAATTAGATAAATCAACCTATACTACTTGTTCTAAGGTCTAAACATTCTTTGACATATTTACCTATTTGTTCACAGTAAGGGTTATTATTACCTTCTAGAATGAAATTTGATTTATCTATAGCATGAAATTCCGCTGATATAGTATTTACGTTGTTCCTGAATTTTTAGCTTTCTCGACACGTCGTGTTAATCCTTTGTCGCGTTTCAGTCATTGTGCCTTAATTAGTATAATTTTCTCGGATTAGAGGGTGTCATATATGCACCAGGTATCATAAATCATGATGTCATGTGAATGACGTTCACTTGAACCTTGTAACGTTTAGTAACAAATGCCACTCGAAGTGAAATCTAATCATACCAATTATTAAGCATCTACAGAAACATTTTGCTGCTATAATAGGCAACTTTAACGTCGAGATTTAGTGATTTACCCAAGCATTATACAAACCATAAGATTAGACTTGAATACAGCATTTCTATTTTGCAGCTCTAGATGGCGGCTTCACGTCTACCACTATAGCCATTATCAGTGGTGCAGCTGCCGGCGGCCTTTGGTTGCTCATCTGTCTTTGTCTGTTGGTGTACCTGCTAAGGAAGCGACGAGGCGGGGACAGGAAGAAGTTTACGTATTACTATAGTGGTGTACAGAGACGGAGCGATGTAGCAACAAGTGAAGGGGGCGGATCTGAACACAGACGGCAGGTCTTCTTAACAGGTAACGGCTGCGCTGTGAATTCATGCCGAATTGGTAGATTCTTCTTCGGGCTTACGATTGCCGTGGATCGTGGATGATGATGTTACCGACACACGTGTGAAGTTTTCAATTAAATTCTTGCGTTTTACAATTGCTAAATAGGAAAGATAAGATGAGTGCTACCGGTATTTATAGAGCCTAATGCCAACTGTTTTTATACATGTAAAAAGTACGTAGTTTAGCCTATGGCTGCGATGCACTTTACCTGATCAAAATGATCGAATAAACCAGCCATTCATTCCTTCATTCATTCATTCATGACTCGTACCTATAGACGAATGACTTACTTTTTAACTGAACTGTCTTTACGTTACAGAGAGAAAAACCTCCAATGTTGCCTTCGAACAAAGAAGACAAGAAAATGGCGAGCTTGTCATCTAGGAGGACCTGATTTTGAGGTTAAACGATTTTAACGTTTTGGCCTCCGTATGGGCTAACTGCAAAGGATTCTTGAGCAATGCTACATTGTTCAACTCGTGCCTCACAATAAGAACATATGTCTTTATGTATTTGTAACATTTTAGAGATGTGTAATTATTTGTTTTAAATGGTTATCTGTCAGAGGATTCAAAAGAAGCAATTCGGAGATAAACCGTTGAATATCATTGATGTGGATGGATAGGTGGGCGAATTGAAGTGTTACTTTATCTTGGCTTCTACTTATATTGTTATATTTTATCATATTCATACATGAAGGTATACAATATACCAGAAACTATAATACTTAATACACTACATATATCACAAGGATTGCTTTTCTTAAATGATCCCAACTTATAACGCTCATAAAGATATTGTTGTAAAGAATGTATTATTGTGTAAGTATGTTCAAATATTAGTTTCATAGTCACTTGAGCAGACTACGATACAAAGTTTTATTCAGACCAGTGCACAAATGTATATACTCAGTACATGTAGGTGTATATAAGAAAAGATACGTGTTTGTATTGTACTAAATGTAAGAATAATGGACATAGATATACCATAATGTCATGTGAGTGAAAATATTTTAACAACATTACTAAAGACAATGGAAAATACGGGGTTATGCAAAATCGTGTTTCTATTTTCTTTTTTTTGCATCTAAAACATAATATAGACATGGACACGTTTAATTAAAACACAATTCACGTATGTTTTCTTTTGCTTACTGATATGCTACTTATCATCCTCCGCTACAGTATAATTCCCACCAACGTCATTAAAACGTGGGGCTACCTGAACTTGAATAGTTGTATTGATTCTCTATTTTGCAAATATCGATCCATTGGGATGCAAAAAATACAACTGCAATGGCTTCCAATTGTAATACGTCGTATGATATGCAAGAGACAATAAAAGTATTATTTCTTGACCAGAGACTCATTTTATTATAGAGCATCTCTATTTTGAAACAGAAAAATCTAAAAGTATATCACGTCAACCTTTTGAAGCATTTTAGCCAAGCTGTTACACAGTAATAAGATTGGCCGTCTGCCATTTTGATACGTTCGATAATATCAAACGGAATTGCCGTCCAGATGTGGACAGTTTATAGTGAAGCACCGCCATAGGCCGTGTGCAGTAAAGCATTTCTGGGCCGGCAGAGCAACGATAAACGTAGGGTAATATTGGCAATGGTAAATACTGATGAAGCGTCTAGTGCAATACATGTCGGCATTGTTTTCATTTCCTATATTGAAGGTGTTGGACCGTGGCAAACACTAAATTGCGGCGTTTATTTTACTCTTCCTAGTGTCAGAGGCCATTATGAATTAAAAATAGTCTTTACGATCGTTCGGTGAGAATATGAGGATTAATGTTCACTTCAGTATGAAACACATTAAAATCCTCAACGTCTGTGTTTCCAATTATACGAGTAACGTTAATGTTTTTCAAGTCATTTTAACATCAATTCAGCGAGATCACCCTGTTAACACCGCCTAAGTCTTTTGTTCCTGTTATCCTCAAAGTGCTTTAGTGTTACATGAACAGCGCGTGAATGATGTCTATTGCCTGTGTAAAGTGTTAGAAAGGACGTGGGTCCAGACGCGGTCATGGTCATTTTGCCCCGGAAAGTAGTATACATTCAGCCCTGGGACAGCTCAATGTCTGAAGTAACTGCGTGTCACATACGTAACGACGCAGTTGTGGAGGGGATATGAGTTTGAAGTATCCTGGTGGTATTTGGGAAGGAGCGGTGTGGTATAGGGTTGAACTGATCGATACCAGGCACAGACCATTAACCTTCAATGTGTGGCTCCTTCAGGAATACCGTTTGCCTCAAAGTACCGAATCTGGATGTTGTTCGCATCACTCTTCTTCGCCATGAGTCTGCATGCGGGTAATTTGTACCTCTGCAGCATACAGATGCTTGCATTGATTTGTCGCAGTTTGTTTTGTGTTCAGTTGCCCGTGGATTTCTTGTTAATTTGTACTACCAGGGCCTCCTCCATCATACCAGGAACCTGGGTTCGGAAATGAGGACCCTTTATTCACAGTACATCCTATACTGATAGTCGCCCATATCAATTTTCATGAACCAACAACCGTATCCGTTCTGAAGGAATATTACCAGCATGCCTCAGGGTAATGATCCCTTTTAAAACATATGATTAAAATCATATCATGATTGCTTTGCACCGTATGAACTTAATACATAATGCAATCAATGTGAAATACTAATACATTCAACGAATACGACACAAGAATCCAGATGCTTCTGATTCTTCAACAATGTCTGTAGATAACGTCAGCGCAAGGAAATAGAATCAAACATATTTAGGCCACACCAAGTAATTTTTATGGATGACGTCCGCGCGCGCATTGATTTTGGCCTGTTCCCGGAAAAACACATAAGAAATTCTGCTTCCTGTAACTATGACCAAAGAGCCACCACAGTGCTGCAAATCACAAGACGGGATGAAAAGAGACAGGACAGGACGACAACTGATGTTTCACTGATTTCTTGCTGTTTTCATACGAATAAAATACATGATGGTTGTTACACTGTTGTTATCGATCAATTTGTGTCCTAAAATTTGTCGTCTCTTAGTATATTTGAAATCCAGGCGTCTTCTTTTTTCGGCCCATCTTATTTTTTTTTCGCGCTCTCGCATTAGATCTAGGGTCTCCAGAGGACGTCATCCATAAAGATTACTTGGTGTGGCCTTATCTGAATCACATAAACTTGTCGATATGAATAGCAGCTCAGGTCGAAGGCCATTTGTTGTTCTTATTTGGCCCCCATCGACCCGCGCCTCGCACAGGACGGGCTCAATATCCACAAAGTGTCCCGCGGAGAAATAAGATGAGTCAAAAGATCTTTATTGCATCGACAGAGACTCATACTTTGCAAACATTTCTTAATGGTACATTATCCTCCAGTCGCCTTTTCGTCTGCCGAGGGCCACAAACTCTCATCAAAAGAAGTACGTTTTATAGACTTGTAGAGGTGTTTTAAGATCAATGACCGGAGGGGTAATGCGCTGGAAGTGCCTCTTTAAAATTTGATCACATTTTAGGAGATGCCAACGCATTTACTATGCACTTTGTAGCCGTGATACCTATGTAGAATGGCACTCTTCTAGCATTTGAATTATTTGAATATTCATTTCAGTTCTAAAGCAGCCATTGACGTAGTATGATATTCATAATAAAAGAATATTGAATTGTGTCACAGTTTTTAGAATCCGTCCGTTGCAAGCTTATTTGGAAAAATCCTCAGGGCCGCGGTCAAGAAGATAATAAATTATTTGGCATTGAACGTTATGAGTTGTGATCTCTTGGGTCCCATTCATATTACATATGTGTCATCTCAATATTCGCATACGTGCAGATAGGGCAACGTGGTATGTAACAATCTATGAATAATATCTAGGAAGATCACGAAGCAGTGATGTGTGCGTGTTTTCTAAGACTACCTAATTATATCGAACGGATAGCACCAACGTTACATTGCTAAGGTCACATTTCCAAGCCGGGGCCCGGCCGGGTTGTTTGCGTGAACGAAAAATAAACGATTTGTATTAAGAGTATATACAAATAGTGCTCATGGTTATTTTCTAAAACTTTATTTGTGTTTTGCTGTCTTATATCATACTTTTCGTTCCACACGACTGCCCGGCCGGGCCCCGGGTTGGGAAATATGACCGCGCCATAAGAGGCGTTTGGATGATGCTTATGCATTTTTTAAATTTTATCATGCAGTATCGAATTACGTCTGACAGACACCGAAGAACCCACAACTTTAGCTGGTAAATATCTGCCTAGCTGAAATATAACTTGGCCTACAAGTAATACAACTCTGTACTGGAAGAAAGATGGGCAAAAACCAGCGTGTCGGTTTAATTTGCTACGGACAGACAACCCCGACAGCAAAATGGCTTCACCGGCATGCCTCACAGCGGTGTAGTATAGCCTTTTCCTGAGTGGGAGTGTGAATAAAGGCCAAACAACACCTGGGGGATTACTAAATGGCCGGATACAAAATGTGCCGCGACATTTCTGCCTAGTATCAGCGCTGTGCCTGTGCCAAGATCACCAAAATCACCAACTTGATAGATTTCAACACGCACGCATTGTCATCGCATGCCTGTAATATAACCGAACTGCGGTACCAACATGTGGTGTCATGCATGTGATACAAGTTTACGTTCTGTAGTATTGTTTTGGAGACATCGGTTTTTCCACATTGACTAGTAAAACCTTGTAGTTCAACGTATGAGTCATGTATTCTATTATACAATAATGTATTGTACTGTGCTAGCTGACATTGTGGGAGGCCGAATTATGTATCAGTGCCCAGGGGATAGATTTTGTTAGCTCTCAGCGGCCAGAACTAAGCTTCCAGCCATCGCACTTTCTGCCATTCTGCACTAACTCAGCTGACCTCAATACGACACGGGTCACAGCACTGAGGGTTTCATCTGATCATGTCAGGGACATGGTTCTGCAGTTTCGGTCGTTTCTTGGAGGGGTGTTTTTTTCTTGTCGATGTCTCAGGGCGCACTTCCTTTAAGATCGCAACCTCATCCCGTAGGTGGCAAATCTCAGGTAATACCGACTAAGCCAGTATGCTGATCCTCATACCCCTGGGATCCGGACTAAACTCCTGGGTGCCGTTTCTATTCATAGTCATACGAAGTTTTTGTACTGACACAAGGATGTTACGTTCTGTGCACCAAGTGCAAGAGTACATGTAACGTTTATATGTGGGGTCGTGTGGCGTAGCGGCAGAGTGCTCGACTCGGAACCTAGAGGTCCCTGGTTCGAGTCCTGACCGATCTTGTGCCCTTGGGAAAGGCACTTTACACGACGTTCCTCACTTCGCTCAGGTGAAAATGAGTATTGTATTGTCCCTTGTATTGGTGGCGGCATTAATATAAGCCTGTGTGCCGTTACCACGTCTCGTGATGACATGTTGGAAATATGTTGTAAAAAAAGAAGTTTTATACTAAAAAGGTGTGGTTAGCTCCCGAATGAAAGCCCATCTATGTTGGTAGAGTCCATAGTTGTAAAGTTTAAGCCTATTTTGAGTTCTGTGTGTTGGAA